AAAAGCTTAGACATCCAACGGCAAACATTTATAGGAGAATGATTAACTTTGCATCTCAAATACATAGACCCTCGTCTAAGGTTAGATATGATCTGGTTCGGTTTGAATTTAAAGAGAATCAAATCAAACTCGAATTTTTCGATATTTAGTAAGTAGAATCGTCGAGTCCAAATTTAATTAAGAAACCGTTCATGTTTGATTCTATTCAGTTCAGTTCAATTCGATTCGGTTTCATTTGGTTCCTAGGTTTCATAAAATAATTAATTATTTTAATATTTACAACAACACTATATTAATTCAACTTATGATTTATTCAATCTCAACTCTTACAAATAATGTAGTCCAATTTTATGTATCTTTTGCACCCCTTTTTGTTGAGTTCTTCATAAATTTGATTATTAAAATCATAGAATGAAAAATATGGTGAACTGACAATAATGAAGAGAGGTAGAGTCGAGATTCCAATTTGATTTTTCTAGAACTATAGAAACGGAGATATCTATGTTAGAATAATATATTTGAGTAAAAGTTCGATCAATTTGATTAAGATGGACTTGGAATGGAAATTAGAAAAAAAAAATCATATTTCGGATTTAGGCTAAATTAATTAGTTAGGAAATTTATTTAGAAAAAAAATAAAATAAAATAATTTATTTTATTTAAGATAAATAAATTAAAAATTTAGGGAGATTTGATTCTTCGATTTTTTGTTTAGAATGGACCAAACCAAATCCTTCGATTCTTTATTTAGATATCCTTCCGAGTTTTTAATTTAAGAAGAACCACTCGGTTCGATTAGATTAAGTTCAGGTCGGGTCGGGTCCAGTTCGATCCAATTCAGTTTAAGAGTTTTATCCAATCCTACCCTCCCATCAGAAAGCTTTTTCCATAGAGTAAGGATGCACGTTACTTTCATTTCCATTTAAATATTTAAAAAAAAAAAAAAGAAGAAAACATCTTCAACAATGTTTTTCTAATAGCAAGTTCAACATTTTGAATTTAAGGTTTCAATGTTTCATAAAAAAATTTTGGGCCGTGTTTGCTGTACAGCAAGACTTATTGTCTAAGCTAGATTGTACAAGTATCTTTACCCAAAATTTTTAGTAACATTTCAACAAGATTTCAAAAAACAATTTAAAACGTAAAAGAGTTCCCCCAAATCAAATGAATATTAAGAAAACGTTACCTATGTTGTCGTTGGCATCGAAGCTGTCGGAGTCGGAATTGCTTGCTTCAATGTCGTCTCCATCTCCATAGTGACTGCGTTCAGGGACTAACACAAGTGATGGAGGTATGAACGTGGGGTTCACGATCGTGTCAAAGCCGATGTCGTGAAATGGGTTCTCACAACCTTCCATTTCGTGTGTCAGTTGAATAGGAAATGATATGATATGGTCAAAATGACGTTTTTTTTTTAATGGTATGCGGGGTATTGATTTTGGAAAATTCTACTTGTACATAATTATTGCACGTAATGGTATTCATAATGTGATGTGACAATTATCCAGTTGTTAATGTGAAAGTGTTAGATTTGAGTTAAAGGTTGGATTCAGTGCCACATGTAATTATGGACGCCATTATGTAAATAATTATGTACATATAACACTTCTCATTTACTTTTCCATAGTCTCCACGTCACCACACTGTACACCATCCTGTTACATGGGGCTTTACGTGCAGCACTAGCGATTTTTTGGGCTTGGTTGGACTCTTATGGACAATCCTTCCACTTCCCAATTGTATACCCCTGTATATTCGGTCAGTCACTATTCACAGAGTATTTTATGGGCCCTAAATCGAACTAATAACGAGTTAATTGTTTCAGTGGTCACTGAACTTTGGTTCATATTTTTTATTAATTACTGAAGTTTAAAATGTCTAATTTTGATCACTAAACTTAAGTCAATATTTTCTATTGCTCACTGAACTTAGGTTCATATTTTAAATTACTTACTGAAATTTAAAATGTAGAGTTATGACCACTGAACTTTGGAATGAACTATACGGTATCATTAACATAACTGTTGAACTTTAAAAAATATCGAGATTACTAACTGTTGAACTTTAAAAAATATCCAGATTACAGTGAGTGATGTACAACATTTTCCAAAATTCAGTGGTCAAAACTCGACATTTTAAATTTCAATGAACAATCGAAGACATAGACCTAAATTTAGTTACCAAAACTTGATATTTTAAACTTCAGTGACCAATTAAAAACATTAACCTAAGTTCAATGACCATTGCAACAATTAACTCACAATAATGACTCATCTCTCTCTCTCCCTCTCCCTCGCCCTCGCCCAAGTCATACTACTTGTTTGATGGCTATGCTCACCTTTCTTCTGGCCTCGCTTGTGGCCTTGCTGGCCTTTCTGCTGGTATGGCCATTGGAATTGTTGGGGATGCTGGTGTTAGGTGAAATTCTTTACCCTTCTTAATGATAATACGTGTATGCGATTTTCCACCTGTATACACAGCGATTAAAGATCTATGGATTCTCCTAGTCTAAGCGTAGACCATCGGAAGAATTCCAATTTGATTTTTGCATTATAGTCGAGAGTTTTAAAGGGTTGTAATTGAACTTTAGGATTTGAATTTGAAGTACTGCCAGAGTGTGATTGTTGTTAAAAAAAATTATTGGGTTTTCTTGTTAATCTGGCATGTGACTGAAGTTAGTGGTTTATGCACTCTTTTGATTAATCGGATTTCAAATTGGTATATATCAATATGTCTATTCAGAAGTCCATAACCAGTTTCATGTCAAGGATACTGTGTTAGCTAATGAAGAATATCTTTGAAATGAAGCGGAAATTGGTGTTCATTGCTTTGGTAATCATGTAAAATGTATTTATGTTGACTATTCAGTGATCTAATCTTTCATTGTGGAAGACTTTGCAATTGTATTAGAATAATATTGTGTCCTATTGAATCTTTTAGTACATCTTTGGAGCTTTAAAAAATGGTTTATTTATTACTTGTATGTTCACCCTTTTGTATGTTCACTTGTCTCTGTAATACAGAGATTTGCTAGACTTAACCATCACGAGTAAGCAAGTAAATCTATTAATTGACTGCCAGATCTATTTTTGCTTAATACTTACTTATAGTTGAAAATCACTGGAGTGTCTTTTCTTGAATCAGAAGCCAATCAATTAGTTAATCCATATCTCTCAAGTGGTGTGCAATTCCCTAGCACAGGCATGGAATGAATGGGTTCTTTTTCTCTTTAATACATGCATGCAACCTTCACTCTTAGGAATATTATTTAACCCACATTTTTATGTTGTAGCATAGATCCCTAGACTTCAAACAGGATTCAAGGAGGAAAAACCAACCGTATACTGATATTATTTTATATGCAAGTTATAATATGAGGTATCTAGTCAAACAAGAAGCCAGTGTCGTTAGATAAAAATTTGAAATGTTATGTCTCTTCAAATGAAATTCTGGAAGGTTCATCCCTGGAATGATTGCTGCTGTTTTTCTTGGTTAAAATTGACCATGATTCTTGTCTGTTTCAGTTATGTTTATAGCTATTCTATTCAAACCTGTTTTGTATCTTTGCTGTTATCTATTATGTTTTGTGTCTGTCTGAGTTGCTTGTTCATTAATTTAGGAGGAAGTTATTGAAATTTCTCTCACCTAATTACGTTCACTTTGACAGAGCCAATGCACAACAGCCAAAGCTTTTTGTTGGAATGATTCTTATTCTCATTTTTGCTGAAGCACTGGCTCTTTATGGCCTTATTGTTGGCATCATCCTCTCTTCTCGTGCTGGTCAGTCTAGGGCAGATTAGAAGACGGCATTCGGCTTTGCAGCTGCAGTTTGTTACTATCTCTATTGTGTTCCCAGTATGAATTATTAGTTCGGTCAGCAATGTTTTTAGGCTCAATCTTTATCTTTATGTGGCTATTGCTTGGCCTGAAGAAGAGGGGGGTTGATTTCTGCTGATGGTAGATAGTAGTTCAGGACTTCGGTTTTCCCTAAATAAAGTTCTCTATTAATTTATATTTTCTTTATGTTGCAAGACGATGTTTGATTTGTGTAAAACCATTTGTTTGTATTATTTTTGTGGAAACATCATTCTTTTTTTTTTTTTTATCAACATTATTTTGGAAGTTGCAAGACGATGTTTGATTTGTGTAAAACCATTTGTTTGTATTATTTTTGTGGAAACATCATTCTTTTTTTTTTTTTTTATCAACATTATTTTGGAAGAATTCTGGGAATTTTGCTGTTAACTGTTCCTATGATTACAAAACACAACTGAATTCCAACTATCCATTGCCAGGAGGTTGAACGGTTCTATCGTTTTCCTGTGACTGACTTGTAAAGTTATTGACCAGTCTTGTTTAATACGTATTGCCATTGATGTAGTAGTTGTTCCCCTTTCATGCTTAAGCTATCTCCTCTGGAATGTCATCTGATGCTCTTAGTGTCTCGTGTCTTTCTTTCTACTTGGCGTTTCATGTTTGTTGATTGAGGGTCAATGCAAGGCTGTTGAGGGATTGAGCAGTCCGGTATATTATGACATTTATATGTATTTCAGACTAAAGCCGTTTGGACTCTCTACACTTGCATTCCTTCGTATGTCTTTTGTTAACTTGACAAAACAGGAAAATCACCAAAAGAAAAGAGTTCACATCATGAAATGTGCAAGATTATGAGTCTTAAGAATGGAGTGACTGGCTAGTATGGACTGGCACTTCAAAGTTTGATATGGATGGCTTGTTTGTGAGATGACATGATGTTGGCCTGGCTTCCCCTTATTTTGTTTACTTTTGAGGCCCACATATGGAAAGGATATATGCCATTAGACCCTTAGCTCATTGCGGCCAATAGCAGGGCAGAAAATTCTCCAAGAAAACTCGCTGAAAGGGGAATTAGCCTACAATAACCTATTCGCTTGCATCTTTTAATGATATGACCCTGGGTTTTCCACCGGTCTTTACCTATTTTCCTAATCTAACTCTAACTTGCCTTTGATCTTGATAGATTGGAAATAAGCTCGTAACAAAAGTATTCCTCGCTAAACTTGGATCTTATAAAAGCGAGCAAGTTTGAAAATCAACTCAATAATAAAAAATTACTAAAATAAAGAATGATAATTTATTTATTTATTTATTTTTATTTTTTTTATCAAGAAACAAGAATAAATTTTTTTATTTGAGCTTCATTATTTAAAAGTCATTTTTCTTAAAGTCATTTTAAATACTTTTCTTTCAATAAAACAATTTTACATGTCAAATAAAAAAAGATCCAACTTATTAATCACAATTTTCAAAAAATCCCTATATATGTCTTGTAAAACAAGCAATCCTCACAACGTTCCAAAGTCAAAACGTGCGAGTCTTCACATTATTTACATATTGCATCATTTGATCCCTAACCTATTCTCTCAATTGGAAGCTAGCCTTCAATGCTTAAAAAGAATAAATTAATCCCCAACTTTTCACTATCATCGTCATTCCTGACGTGGAGTGGAGGTGAGATGGAGGTTCGAACTAGGAACCTTCGTCTCTATTCTGCCATTATATGGTACCAGAAAAAATCAAATTCCTCAAAAATTTCGAACAAATGAGCA